CCCCAAAACCCCAAAACCCCAAAACCCCAAAACCCCATGTAGAGAATGTCAGATTGGTAATAAATATTTTAATTTGATTTATTAGCTTGTTTCAAATTAGGCCCTGCATTCAGAGCACTCATGATGCTCAAGAAGTGTGTAGCATTCTCATCTCCATTCTTTTTTCTATATTCTGTCATAAAGGGTCTTACTGAATAGCTTTTTGCATGTCAGCATACTTCATAATCGCACTCTTGAACTTCGCTTTCTCTGGTGCCCGGTCATCTCTGGAGCTCTGGTCCATAGATAACAGAAGATTTGCATCAAAGCTATCACTGCTACCTAAAATATCATTTTATACTTCTTACTATTATTATTTTCATGCAGATCCTTTTTAATCAAGCTTTCATTAAGAAGCTTATCAATAGTCATATTCGGTTTCTCCTGTTGCTCTTCATAGTCAGAATCAACTAGTGATTCCTCTCTGAAGTACATTCCGTAATTTCTGAAGAACCTGACGTTTTTAATATCTGCTATAATCTTCCTCATTTTCCTAATCATAATGAGATCTTCCCTATTAGAACTAAGGCACAGTAATGTTTGGAACTCCTCGTCAAGATCTTCACCATATGGGATTATTCATTTTTCACGTAGGACTTCTCGAAGTTTCAAATGGTCAATGACCCCTATCTTCTCAGTCTTGGAAGGAGATACCACTTCGATGTACGTAATGTTCTTCTCACCAAGGAAGTCCTCAACATCTAGAGGTTAGGCCAAGTGCTTACTCTCTTGCTTATCTCTTTCCATGATGGCAATTATCCTGTTCAGGATCCTGATAGTAGCTCCATCCATTTCTAGAAGATTATTACAGTAATGTTACTTCTGTAGTTAATATGTTTGTTTGATTTTGGAAACAGCTCAAAGCAACCATATTTTGCCATTGTTGAGATTAAGGAATGAATCTCAACTGAATTATCTAAGAAGGGGACTAATACATGCTCTATTCCTTGCTTCGTATCTCCTGTGATATTAAGACCTCATTTAGCCCATATTTGGTAAAGATGCTTGTACTTAATGAGCTGGTATTCTTTAGCATTCAAAACCTTGTCAAAGATCTTATCCTTGATGACATCAAGGATAGAGATATCACTCTTCTTGATATAGTCAGCAAGTTCTTGGAAGAACTTATTACCAATTTTAAGCTTGGAGTTCTTATCTAGCTCGATTACTTCATCCTTCTTCCCTTTTGGTGTACCGTCAGAACATATTTTAGAGATGCATAAGGACTCATTTGGAGCGATACTTGCTTTTCTATTAGCATATTCTACCAAAAATCATCTCCTAATGAGAATGCTAATCATATTTCCAGTGATTTTTCAAATAGAATTAGACATCCTTCAGAGATATACAACTATTTTTGTAGGGTCTAGCTTCAGGTTAGAAGTCAATATGAGATTGTAAATATCAAATGGCGACACAAACTCTCATTTTGAGAGTGCCTGAAGATCTTTGACAAACTGATCTTTATCTTCTTTATTCTTATTTTCACTGAAATCTAGCTTAATAGTTGTAATATTATCCGTCTCGATTCTTGTGTATTTTCCAATGAATTCCTTAAGTCTTCTCAAAATGAAGCTATAGAGGTGAAATATGAGATATACCTTCATCTTCTGACTGTGGATTTATCAAAAATTACTTTTGGCTTATTCCTACGTTCGAAAAGATATCTTGAGAATAACAAGGCTTCCATTTGAGAGAGGTTCATAAACTCTTCAGCCTTGTTCATAAAGCCTTGCATTGATATCTCGTTTGAACCAAAAATTAAGTTTTTGAGATTTTCTTCATAACACATTACTGCAAGGCGAACTTTAGCTCTTATATGAGCTATTTCATCAACTTTCACAATATTTTTCTCTCCTGAGAAATCTTCATGAAGAGCTTTCTTCTGATTTCTAGGACTAATCTGTGTGGGAAGTTTGACAAATGGCTAGATTTCTCATATAATTGACTTACATCTTTAGTAACTTCCATATAGCTCAAGTCTGGAGCTTCAGATATATCTAAAATGTCATTAAATCTCTCCAAAAAACAAGTTAAGCTGCATATATTATAATATATAGTGGGTTGATTATTACTCTTCCCAGAGAAGTTTCCTAGAATACTTACAGTTAGTCAACAACTTGTGATAATTAAGCTTAGCATCATCTTCTTCTTTAGTAGATTCTTTATAGACAGCAGAGCTGTTATTCTTCTGATATTTTGACAACTGCCCCTCAAGCTGGGAGATCTTCTTGTTCAATATCTTGATCTCATGCTTCTCAGCTACATTTTGGGCACTGTTTGTGTTAGTTTTGTGAGAAACTGATTGATTTTCAAATGTTTTAAATACTGGAGGCAATCCATTTACATTTATAGTCTCTTCATTATTCTTCTTTATAACTTTATTAGTTTTGTTCACAGGAGTAATACTCTTCATCGAATTATTTGGAATTCAACACCATACTGTTTTTGAGGTTATTTTGGGTTAACTGATGAGGAGAAGCCACAGTTGATTTTGAAACTCCCATTTGACCTAAGTAAATCAAAATGATGTTCCTACCTCTGTTAATAAATGGCTCTTTCTTAAGGACTAACTTGCTTCTTTTCTTATTTCTCGTTTGCTTCTTACACTAAAAATGGTCTAAAAAATGCTTACTCTTGAAAGAACAAGGGATCTCTTAGGATTTAGACCCCCTCTGACTTTTTCTAGATTTTTCTGAATAATCTCGGCCTTCTGGGTAAGCTTCTTGGTATTATTCTTAGTCCCTGCTAATTCTAGTGCCATTTTGAGATCAAAAAGCTCATCATCTCTTTCCTTCACCAATTTCTTCAGTGCTTTAATATGCTTGCGCATGTGTATCTCAGAAACATCCTTTTCATGGCGGTTCTTCAGCATGGATTTTATATTCCCAGAGATAGGAGAAGAAGTAAACTCATTTCGGTTCTCACTCAAATTCTCTAAATCTTGTATTACAACATCCTTACTATTTGAGGAAGGGTTCATCTTTGCTAAACTGTTCTTGTAGTTATCCATCTCTATTAAAATACTCAGCTTCTGGCCTGACAGCATGGGCCTCTCTTCTTCGTTACGAGAGAGGTTCACCTTATTTATACCTTAATTTCTTTACTAAAGAGGTTTAGAAATTCCGATTACCTGGTTTGAAGGCCCGTTTAGCCCCAAGACTTAAGCGTAAGTTTGAATCATCCCTAAGGTATTAGATCAAAAGTTGGTACTTCTTTAAATTGATAGTTTTAGTATTATTTCCTTACATCTGGGTAATGGCCTGTAAAACTAAATTAAATCCAGAGAAAACAATGGGAATAGAATTTTACGAGACTACAAATGGATTGATAGCTTACCAATACTGCTATGAAAGTTCCTTTTATGGCTTGGCCCATATCTCTAAATTATTAGTAACGCTGCAGTAGAAATAATACAGGGGAAAGTCAAATGGAATTCTTACAAATTTAGGCTTGCTTTCTTTAGTGATCTTTTGCTCAAATGACATTTTTGTGAAGTTATCTGGAGGTAAATAGCTGATCTTGTCTTCCATAATTTAATTTTATATATTTAGGTAATATATTTCATTACTTTCAGTCGAGTGGCGTAATGAGGGGTTTTGGGGTTTTGGGGTTTTGGGGTTTTGGGG